AGCACATCAGGCCATATCTCAAAATACTTAAATGGATCCTTGCCTCATGGTAAAATCTAAAGACTGCACCAATCTTGTATACATGATTTCCCCCTCCCTTCCTCCTTCTTAGCTCCTAGACTCTCCTCATTCCCTGGTTTAGTCACAGAAGACTCTTGATATCCCTAAAAAATGATGCATGAACCTTTTCAATGTCTCTTGCTCTATGCCTGCTGCCTAGACCCAAATATCCCTTGGCTGCTCCCCTCTCTACATCTTTCCTCAGGCATTCTGATCACTCTGCAGCTCACTTGTGGCTTCAAGCCTACCTGCAGAATCCCTGAACACTCCAATGGTTTACCTATAGAATCACACCTATCCCTTACTTTATTTTTCAATTTATTCTATCTACCCCTTTAGAATGTCAATTCCATAAAATCATGGATTTTTGCACTTTTTTTATTCTGATGCAGCCTCAGTCCTAACGAAGTTTAGTGTCAATAGGTTAATTATGTTTAATGTCAATAGGTTAATCATGTTTAATGCCTATACAAAGTACGTAAGGAAATGTATTTTCAAAATTCCCCAAGTGTAATTTGATAACATAGTCATACTCAGTAATTTCACTCCCAGAAGTTGATCAATATAACTAATTAGTACAAGGAAACACTGGTCCAGGTAACCAACAGGTAAATGGAAATTTTTGTTGTTGTTGTTCAAAAAATATCTCTTAACCTGCTGTGCTTTTCAGGCTTGGTTGTACACTGATCCGTTACCTGGGATATTTTATAAACATGTTGAATGTTGATGGCAGTCCCACCTTGTGGATTGACTGTCTTTTTCATAACATTGTCAACCGTTAAGTGACTATAACTAGACCACAGGAAGTCATTAGGAACTATAGGTGGCATTCCTGTTAACATCTCCTGGTTTGTATTTTTTCATCCATCAAGTAAAAAGTTTTATGTTGGAATCCCTACTTCCTTGGGACCGAAGGTCACCTGAAGATACAGTCTCATGGACTAACAACTACTGGATTCTTGTTTTTTCTGTCAGGAGATAGCCATTGCCAGCCTATCAGCCACTATAATAAATTCTTCTTTACTATATCAGTTCTGTTCCCCTAGAAAACTCTAATACAGAGCATTGACTCTATCTTCATGGTGATTTGAAGGTGTCTATGTGCATGTGTGAGCTTGACAATGCTACAAAATAAAAGACGGGTATCCATTTTTATGGTGGAGAAATTACCATAGAAAATCAGAAACCTGTAACCTTTTTGTTTGTTTTTCCTTTCGGAGCCCTGATAAATGTTGAAACAGTCTCAGGTCATCCTTGAACTTGTGACCCTCCTGTCTCAGCTTCCCAAGAGCTGGAGATTACAGGCCTTTGCCAACAAACCCACTTATAGTGGAAATACTAAGTAGTTACAAGATCCACTCCAACATGTGTCTGGAGTGGTGTTAGGGACTGACACTCTTTGTAGGACTTGATAAGGGCTCGGAGACCTACCATGCTGAGTTTTTATATTATTTGCATTTGTTCCTACATTCTTTCTATTTTACATGGGACGCTAGAAAACAAGTGAACAGTAGCAACTCTTTGCCGCATGCAGATTAAGCATTTTTACATATCTGTAAGACAGACCCCATGGCAGACCCCCACCACCAGGCTATTTCAACTTGGGAACATTTTCTATGAAAACCATTAGATTTACCTCAACCAGTAAGCATGTTGTCTCCAGTTAGTTTTGTTGGACATAATATTTTTTCTTTTCTTTCTTTCTTCTCCGAGTCCCCCTACCCCCTTACACTGGAAACCAGATTTTTGTAACATAGAAGCCAAAGTTGCCTATCCCATTATTATAAGTGATTTGGATTAATCTTTTTTTTTTTCAAGACAGGGTTTCTCTGTGGCTTTGGAGGCTGTCCTGGCACTCGCTCTGTAGACCAGGCTGGCCTCAAACTCACAGAGATCTGCCTGCCTCTGCCTCCCGAGTGCTGGGAGTACAGGCATGTGCCACCAACTCCCGGCTATGATTCAGATTAATCTTAAGGATGTGTGTCTTCCCAAGAGAAACTAAAACTTGATTATCCACTGCAGATTCCACTGCCATACAACCCCCTATCAGGCACTGGGGATTGATTATTCAAAAAAAGCCAATCATCCATTTAGGTAAAGAAATCACATTTCTGATTTGTTTTGTAAGAAAACTTTTACAAGCATAAGTTTTTCAATCCCAGCTCTATAATTGGGGTGTCATGAAACATATCATTGAGAGAACTACTGAATATAAAGTGCTTGCAAGTGTACAATGCCAGATAGAGAGTACATGCTTAATGGATGCTACTTTTACTTAGGTAATGGTTAGACTGAGTATAGCATAACAGGATTTTTAAAAAAAAATTATATGTACTGGTGTTTTGTCAGCATGCATGTTTGTGTACCACATGTATGTACTGCCTGCAATTGTTAGCTACTTTGTGTATGCTGGGAATTAAAGCCAGGGCCTCCTCCAGGAGAGCAGCCAGTACTCTTAACCACTGAATCCCTCTCCAGCCCCAGCAAGAATTCTTGATATACCCTTCCTTGTCTTCCTTTTTCTTTTCTTTTCTTTCTTGAGATGGTGTAGCCTTGGCTGGGCCAGAACTCACTATGTAAAACAGGTTAGCAGTTGGCCTCTAGTGCTGGGATGAAGGGCTTGCCAAGTCACACTCAGCTTCTTTCTCTTTTCTCTCAGCCATTATCTTTGGGGACTGACTTAGGAGTAGCTGAAGCCTATGGCTTTCCATTGAACTGCGTGTTCCTTATTGCAGTTTCTCAATGCTGCCTTTGCTGCCTTTGGGTTAGTGAGAAAGTTTTCAGGGTGGGAACTCTGTGCTAGGAGAGGAAGTGAGAGAGATCAGCTGAGTGTGTCCTGGGGGAGGGAGGGAGGGAGGGGACGGGCAGGGCCAGCTGCCTACACTGGCTTCTGCTTTTTACAGGGCCTGCAATTCTATAATTGAATATAGCTTTTTTTCATTTAATATATTCTGATTATGGTTTCCTTTCCCCAGCTCCTCCTACATCCTCCCCACCTTCCTTCCCATCCAAATCCACGTTTTCTTTCTCTAGTTAGAAAAACAAACAGGCATCTAGAAAGTAATGATACAATAAAAACAAATCAGAATAGGATAAAACAAACAAACAAATGGAAGAAAAAGAGCCAAAGAAAAGGCACAAGAAACACACATGGCCTCACAGACACATGTTTGCACACAGGAACCCACAAAACCACAAAACCAGAAACCATAATATATCCAAAAATGACCTGTAAGGTTAAAACAAGAAAAGTCCCAACCTGACAAAGAACCTCCAAAAATGCCACTGAACTGGTTTTGTGCTGGCCTTAAGAGTGCTTTGTATCACTAGTGAGACTGTTGTAGAAAACTTCATTTGTGAGCAGTTATCAACTGGAGGTAGCTCCTGGTTTTGGGATAGGAACTTGTATCCATTTCCCTTCTCAGCGCTGGGACCCCATCTGGCCCGGATCCATGCAGGGCCTGATGTATTAAGTGTTCAGGTCCTCTTTATGAACTTGTATGTAATTCTGAGCAGTCCCCCTATTCTCTTCAGGCGGGCAAATGGTTGAGAATTCACGGAATGGCTAGCTCTTCCCCGGCCACACTTTGCTCTATTATTATTAGTTTTGAGAGACAGGGTTTCTGTACAGCCCTGGCTGTTCTGGAACTCCTGTTGTAGACCAGGCTGGCCTTGAACTCACAGAAATCCGATTGCCTTTGTCTTCCCTGGGATTAAAGTCATGCTTCACCTTCCCCCCTGCTCTATTTTCTTAATATGGCTTGATGTCTATTTTTTTTTTTTTGTTTTGTTTTGTTTTTTGTTTTTCGAGACAGGGTTTCTCTGTGGCTTTGGAGGCTCTCCTGGAACTAGCTCTTGTAGACCAGGCTGCCTCTGCCTCCCAAGTGCTGGGATTAAAGGCGTTGATGTTTACTCTTTAAACTTTTGAAATGCTCATCATCAGTCCTTTCAAACAAGATCCAATTTAAGTATTGTATTGCTTTTATGACAATGTTTTGCTTGCATTACAAACAAACAAACAAAAACCCAAAACAACAAGAAACCAAAAACACCCTTTCAGGAGAGTCCAAATGAAGTGGCTGTCAGAAACTACGATGGAAGCTTTAACTATTGATTTTAAAGTTAACACAATTAGCCGCCAGCTCCAGCTCCTTTGTCTGTAAAGCTCACACCCCTCCCTTTCAGGTTATGTTTTAAGGTTTCCTGTCGCCATTATATGACTGTCTCACATTGGTGGTGGACGCATTTAATCCCAACACTCAGAAGGCAGAGGCAGAGGCAGGCAGATCTCTGTGAGTTCAAGACCAGCCTGGTCTACACCTTCCAAAGCTACACAGAGAAACCCTGTCTTGAAAAACAAAACAACAACAACAACAAAAATGTCAAGTACAAGTTAAAAGGGTTAAAGAAAAATGAAACAGCTGTGAAACTTTACTATGTATGGTTATTTTCAGCACGAAAAGAGGTTTGTTTACAAGTTACTCGAAGATCTTTAAGAGGAGACCTCGTTTTTCTGGATCCCGATTTTAAACACGTCTAAAGTAGGAAGTTCCCTCGGGTGGGAATCTCGGGCCCGGGCAGCCCGTGTCTCCCTGATCGATCCCTTTCCCGAGAGCACTGCTGCTTCCCAACTGCACACTTGCTCTACCAACCGGGTCGGCCCACCAGCGTTCCACGTGATCACGGTGCTGAAGGGCAAGGCAGGAGGACTGAAGGCGCCCGGGGAACACCAGGAAGCCCGAGCGGCGAACAGAAACCCGGAAGACGACGCGGGCCGGAGAGGAGGAGGGTGTGGCCAAGCGCGGATTGGAGGGTCTGGGGGCGGGACTTGTGCGGATCGGGAGGACTTAGAGCGGCTGCGCCGGGAGTTAGTTCCCAGAGAGGCGTGGCGCGACGTCATAAGGGGCGGGACGCGGTTGAATAAAAGCCGGCCTGCGGGCGCATTCGGCTGTCTGTGCTGAGGACGTGGGCTGCGCGGTTGGTCTCCTGCGTTGCCGTTTTGCTGTCACGGTCCCTTCCCGGAGCCTGGGATTGAGGGGGCACGCGCGCGTGCGTGTGTTGTGTGAGGGACAGCGAGACTCGGGCAGGGCCGTCCCCTGCTGCCTCTTCCCTTAGCCGGGGCGGCAGCCCGCACGCTTCTTTGCTCGCCGCCCACTCGGTGTGCGGAGTGCGTCGTCTTTTTGATTTTGGAACTTGTGAGCGTCTTTTTTTCCCCTCCCCCTCCAAAAATTGTTTTTTTCTTTTGGCTTGGTGCCTCCAGGGCTGGTTTCCCCGGTCCCGAATAACCGCTTCCTGACCCCGGTCGCCAGCTCCGCCCCAGGTTGCCCCCGGCTCTGCCCCAGGCCCCCGCGGGTGGGAAGCTTTGCCCAGCGGGTCTCAGCAGCGTAGCCGCACCTGCCTCAGTATGTTTGGGGTCAACGACCCTCCTCTTTTTATAAAAGACATTAAGGCCGGACTGAAAAACTTAAATGTCGTCTTTATTGTCCTGGAGATAGGTAAGTGGGGTCCGCAACCCGCCCCACACACTGCAGCGCTCGGACCACTTCCCCGCCCGCGCCCCCACGTGCTCCCAGCCGCCCTAGCCCGGGCAGGGCTGGGCTGGGCTGGGCTCCTACCCCGGGACAGAAGCCAGTAATGTAGCGTGCCCTAGGAGGGTGAGACAGCTGCCCTGAACGGATTTGTTATCTAACACCACCCACCCCCTTTGATTTTTAAATCTTAACAGGACGCGTGACCAAAACCAAAGATGGCCATGAAGTGAGATCCTGCAAGGTAGCTGATAGAACGGGAAGCATCACTATTTCTGTTTGGGATGAGATCGGAGGGCTCATACAGACAGGCGATATTATTCGTTTGACCAGAGGGTAAGTGTGCATAAATTGGGGTAGGTGTGGGGTTGGCCAACTTCTGGGGTCCTGCGGAGTTCTGAAGTTGCCTGACTCTTCGTGGGCTACTTCAAGAAGCTGTGAACTGTTTGGGGTGGGCAGAATTGGGCAGCAGCTCACCTTTTGCAGCTAGCAGTGTTTCAGGGAGGGAGTTTACTCTGCCCCTCAAATTTTAAAGGTTAATATTAAAACTATTGTATGGGAGTCAGTGAGCCTTTTTTAGTAGGCTGGTAACCACACTACCTTTATAATGGGCCCAAGCATTTGATATAATGTCTTCTACTTCCTTCCCTTTTTAGTGCCTTGAGAGCCTGCCAACACTTTATTTGTACCCTTCATTCAGGTGGTATGGACATAAACCCTAGAGGCTGGGGAATTTATCGTTCTTTCTTTTACCTTCATTTTGGAAACAGTGTCTCCTGTGTTCCAGGTTGTTTTTGAACTTTAAGATGCCCAGGAGAATGAGTTTGAACCTCTGACCTTCCTGCCTCCACTTCCAGGTGGTGGGATTACAGGGATGTACCCAATTGTCCTGGGAATGAGCCAGAGGCCTCCTGCGTGCCAGGCAAGCATTCTGCCTTCTGAGTTACAGCCCCAGCTTGCATTTGACATTTTCTGTGGTCATATTTGTACTCAGAAAAGATGAAGACAGCATCTTGAATCCTCAATCATTCTTGAAAATGATTTCTTCTGTAAGATCGGTGTTTCACAGCCTCCCCCACCCAAATACACAGAAAGTGGCAGAAGGGCATCTGATACATTTAGAACATTTAATTGGCAGACTGTTGCCTATAGAGATGGAGCACTGTTTTTCATCAGCTTTTGAAATTTTTATCAAATGTTAGTCTTAAGAAAAGGCCAGGAAAGAATCTTAGAAATGTGGATGCTTATGTGATTAGGAAAACTAATAATTTTATTGGTAGCTACCAGAAAAATAGTTGGTTATTGATGCTTGCTAAGAATCTCAGAGAAGTAAGTAGTATTGAGTCCTCTGGGCAGGAGCTCGTTGATACTATCGCTCGGGTCTTACGACATTTTCAGGAAGTGAGGTAAAGTATCATCAAAGCAGGAAGTGAGTGAGAATCAGGACTTAGCCATCTTATTCTCAAATACTGAGTCACTGTGACACTAAATTCCGTCTTGGTAACTTCTATGTCTTTAACTTTCTACAAAAGAGAATTTGTCCTTTGGTGAGGACTATAATAATAAAATATATGTTATAAGCCATGTGTAATCCATGAAATTACCTTGGTGATTGTACAAAGAAACATTAAAAACCCAGACTTCAGCCTGATTCTGCTAAGCTGTTTAGTTGACATTTTCCTTAGACTTAATGATGTCATCCACATTTAGAATAAACAATTGGTTCCATTATGTTGAAACTAAAAGTTGCAAAGTTTGGAAAGGCCAGAGAGGAAGGTTAGTGGTCTTTTTTGCTCCCTGATAAAGTTTTGCCAGATTTTGAGTGTGAAAGAAAACACTAGTGTGTTGAATCCTTATACTTTGTGGCTGGAAGGCAATACAAATACTCAATTTCTGTTATCAGAAGCTCCTCAGAATGTACTTAAACTCTTGTGTTGACTTAGGTGGGTCTTGCTTTCCCCTCCCTTTCTCCTCTCCTCCTTAATTAAGCTACATGCAGGTCATTCTTAAGTGTGCTTTTCTGTTAATTTGAAATGTAGAGAATTTTACAGATGTTTCTTCTGTTGGAACTAGGTGGCTGTGATTTGAAATTATTTAAATTGTAGTCCAACAGTTCATTGAGAAAGTAACATTTTCTCTAAAAATAATTTGGAGAACTTTAACTTTAACTTTAACTTTTCTATCTTCACTGATAGAAAAGCAGTTCCTTTGTTAACAACTACGGATACATTTAGGAACAGCAGTGCATGCTTTACCAAAATATCATTTCTCTCCCCTCCAGTCTCCTTGAGGTTAGCCTCAAATTTGAGTTCTTCCTGTTTCAGCCATTTCAGTGCTGGGATTCAAAATGTGTCACCATGCCTGGTTTTTCTCATGCTAGGCATAGGGGCCCATGGCTGACATACCAGTTCCTCTTGAGTCTGAGACAAGAAGATGCCAAGGTCGGGGGCTACTTGGCTACAGAGCAAGTCCAAGACCAGCCTGGACAACATAGGGAGATGCCTAAATATAAGGCTTTAAAAACAAGAACCAGGAATACAGTAGCCTAGTGGCTGATTGCTTGCCCAGTATGTGCAAGGAAGGCCTGAGTCAGTCTTCAGTAGTGCTCAAAAATGTTTTCCTAGGGCTATAATTTAGAAGATTATGTCATAATGTGGCAGTAGAATTTTCTTTGTGTAATTTCTTATTAGAGTTACATGGACTGTATTTGACTTGACCTGGTGGGTAGATGGGTTGATTTGCACTTCTACCTAGTAAAAAATACACTGAAAAATTAAACAGAACGATACATTCTTCTAAAACCTGATTTATTTTCCTTCTAGGTATGCATCAATGTGGAAAGGATGCCTGACACTTTATACTGGAAGAGGTGGTGAACTTCAAAAAATTGGGGAGTAAGTATGACAATACATTTGTATGATTAAGTTTCAAATAATGTCTGCAGAATAATTATATAAACTGTAAACTGATTACTTAGCTGTTGGAAACTTGGTCTCATGCAGTAGGTAGGTAACTGGTTTAAACACTGTCAGTCTCAGAGCTGCTTTGAGAGCAGCCTCAGTGGGGCCCTTTAGAGTCATGTGTTATAAAGTGTTTGGGTCGGGGTTACAGGATCTGGCTACATGGTCCTATATACAGAGATGCTGCAGTAATGAAGGGCAGCTAGGTGGCAACCACACTAAGTCACTCATTTGCTCATGGCTATTCCTTGTCAGGGTTAATTTAAGATTTTCCTAAACTGGATTTAGTTTATAGTTGAAGAGCTAAGAAAATGCTTATGTGTGAACAGGGTACCAAGTTGTGTTGTCAATTGCAAGGAGCCCTGGGATGAAGTAGTAGCTTGCTAGCCAATTATCTATCTTAATCATCTAGAATTCATTCTTTATACCTTTGATTGTCTTTGTAGACAGTGATTGATCAAAAGGGATTTGATGAGAGAATCAAATAGTTGGGTGTTAATATGGGATATAACTATTTACAAATGAATTAGCATGCTATTGTTAAGATAATTCTTTGACACCTAAGGTTTTCATTCTTGTATAAGCTAAGGATGTTTTACAAAAAACTTCAGAAATCATTTAACTTGTCCTTTTCTTTTAGATTTTGTATGGTGTATTCAGAAGTGCCAAATTTCAGTGAGCCAAACCCAGATTATAAAGGGCAGCAGAACAAATCGGTAATTAATCCAAATACATTGCATATTTTTATGATTGGTTAAGTTGATTCTTTATTATAACTCTGTCAGTAGGCTAAACCTCTGATGTCCAAAGTGTAAGGAAAATGATCTTGAGGACTGGGGACATAACTCAGCTGCTTGCCTAGCATGCATGAAGTTTTGGGATCAGCCCCTCAGTACTTCATAAGACTGGCATTGGTGGTGCAAGTCCTATTTCTCAGGAGGTTGGAGGCAGGAGGAAAGAAGTTCAAAGGCATCCTTGGCTACATAGTGAGTTTGAGGCCAACTTGGGGTATATGAGGCCCTGTCTCGAGAAAAAAAAAAAAATCTTTATTACGTAGGTTCTGTGAGTCTGTAAATACTTTTTGACAATAGATAATATGTGCTATTTAGTATTTTGCAGAGTAAAGATAGTATTAGGAAGTATTGGGTATAATAAAAGCTATTAAGAGGCTTGGGAAAGATTTTGAATGCTTTAACATTGAATGAACTTAGACAAATCTTTAAATATTGTTGAAAATCATTTTTAAAGCCTTAAAATTTAGTTACTTCTGTCTTCATCTGTCTTACTTACACTTCTTTCAGATACAAAATGAGAAGGATAGAGTGAGCATCGGTACACTTGGGCCAGTTGGTAAGACTTTTTCCATATTTGTGATGACATTTAAACATTATGGGAATTAGAAAAATGTAAAGGAAAATAATCTCTTTAGGTATAATTTAGTGTCAAACGGGAACTCCAGTAAACAAGGATACCCGAATAAATGACTTTGTAGGAGTTAGAAGATACTTGCCCAGGCCAATGTATTGAGCACATTTTGTATTAACCCTGGGGCCCATTATGCCACGCACTGATAAGTAAGACTAATTTTGGTAACCCTCTGATGAGATATTTTATTTGTCTGTTTTTACAAATGTATATGATATAGTGGTTATTTATAATATATGCACAATTACTGGCTGTTTTGACTACTGGAACCTGCCCAGACAAATGGTACTATAGTAGCAGTCAATGAATACTTTAACAAAGAGCAGCTGTCTTCCTCAGACCTCACCAGGAACCCTTGGAGCCCTATTAAAGGTCTGTCTTTAAGTAACTGAGGATGTCTTGTGAGATGCATCTTTCGGTGATTGGAGTTGATTAGGGTAGCTGAAGACTATTTGTAACCAGCTCACATTGTGAAAAATCTGTCTGCCAATAGTTTGATTATATTGGAACATTAATTGTATTTGAGTCAAACACCAGTACTCAAACATCTCTGCCCCTCTTTTTTTTTTTTTTCAGTATAGGCAATTTTTTTATATTCTATTCCCAATTTTATTGCTCAAGTTAGATTCTCTTTCTATTCATTCAGTTCCAAGGTAATGTATTTGTTAAAGCCGTTGCAGAGCCCCAGAGCCTGTATCTTTTTTCGTTATGGAATAAAGGTGCTTGCTTTCCATGATATTCATAAGCATTTACAGTATGTATAGTAACTTTAAATGATTGTGTTTCTGTAGCATAATATAGACCACTTCTGAAAATGATAAATTTTTTTGTGTTCTTCTTAGCAAATGGTGTTCAGACTGGACCTGAGTCAAGGGGATATCATCTTCCATATACTGGTAGAAACAGTGGCTGGGAACCCATCAATCAACAGCTTCCAGGAGCTCATAGTAGTCAAACAGTCATGACCACAATAAGTAATGCCAGGGATCCGAGAAGAGCCTTTAAAAGATAACCTAAGCCAAAGAGATTCATGTAGTTTTTAAACTACGTGTCCTACTTGAATACTTAGTGCACTTTTATTTATGGTTAACTGTGAAAAGTTTTTACAGATTTCCTTTGACTTTTTGGGTTTGCTAAGAAGAATGGTTGGTTTTTACTGCACAATGTTGAGCTGCTCAGTTACATCCTATTGAAGAATAGGAACTCTGAAAGCGGGAACATTTATTTTTAGAGCAAGAACTTACTGGGTATCACTTGAAAACCTGTCCCTGTTTCAAGGGTGAGCTACTTACGACACCAGCTTTATAGCCTCTGTGAGTCTTCTGCATACATTTTGTAATGGTTGCCCTAACATTTCATGGGAGATGTTCTTTTGTCTTAAACTGGGATGTGGCTAGCAGAAGTGAAGTGGCCCCAGGCAGAAGCATGGCTTGTGGTGACAGTGCTTTGAGTGCATGTGGTACAGGGATGACTGGCTTCTAGAGTGATAGGCCTGCCATGGAGATTGTCCAAGGACAGATTCGAAGCCTACAGTCTTGTTTAATTACCAGAAAAACCAGACTGTTACCAGAATTATGCAATCAAATGTGTAATATAACAAGTAGTTTTTTAGAAGAAAACTTTAAGATAATGCTCTTAACATTGTTAAAACATTGAAGATTACACTGAAGACAAATTTACAACAGAGTCTTTGTGTTATTTTTTAAACAACCATGTTAAATACTGGTGTAATTGGAGGGAGTTAACAATACCACACTGGACAGTGATCTCATTAGTTGTATTTTTGAGACAGGGTTTTTCTCTGTAGCCCTGGCTGGGTTGGAACTTGTCATGTAGACCTTTAAACTCTAGATCTTCCTGCCTCTGTCTCCCAGGTGTTGGGGTTAAAGTGCATTACCACACCAGACTGATCTGATTATTAAAAGACAAAATAGAAAATTTGTGGCAGATAAATATTGTAGCAAATACAATTCAGATTGAAGAGCCATGTGACAACCTGTAGGTAGAAGTAAAAATGCTGGAGTAGGGATAGTTCATGCTTTTCTTCTAGGGGAGTGTATGTGATGTAGTTTCTTTCTTTTTTGGTGTTTTGAGCTTTGGAGCCTGTCCTGAAACTTGCTCTGTAGACTAGGCTGGCCTCTAACCCACAGAGATCCACCTGACTCTGCTTCCCCAGTGCTGGGATTAAGTGCTTTAGTTTCTGAACACAAATCATAGCCTTACTAGCAGAAGATAAATGGCTCAAGTATGTATCTCTATTAGAAATGTTAGGGTGGGATTTGTGTGTCCTGGTACTTCACTAGCCTTACTAGCAAAAGATAAATGGCTCAAGTATATATCTCTATTAGAAATGTTAGGGTGGGATTTGTGTGTCCTGGTACTTCACTATAGGGTGGGTAATTGGTAGATATTTTCACTGTTAGTCTCTTTAAATATTACCTCTTGAGTAAATGTCTTGCTCTGCTTACGGCACAGCCACCTACTCTGCTCTTTTCCAAGCATGGAGAGTCCAGTTCAGTTTCCTGAAGCTGCATCGGCTTCAGCCTGGCTGCTCCCTATCTTTGTACCTGCCATTTCTCCTCACCTCACATTGTACAATAAGTAAGTTTCTGTTCAAATTCTGTAGCATTTGCATATAACCTGTGCCAGATATTATTGTTATATTTCCGTTTAGCAGATTTTCAGTTTGCACTGTAATAGGCTAATGTGGAGATTATTAGAACATTTGAGAAATTTCAGGGAATTTACTTATGGTTTATAGTTGCAGGGCTTTGATATTATTATAGATAATTGGTCACTTGTTCATACATTAATAATTATATCTGTTTTGGTTTTGTGATTATTTATGATTTTTTGTTTACTGATGCTTCAAAAAAGTTACCTAAGAGTTAAAAAATAGTTTGTTTTGTGATTATAGATGTTTTAAATAAAAATAAAGTACAAACTAATGTTGAAATTTTAAGAAATAGGAACAACAGTACTTTTATTTGTGGGAGGGTGTGGGTAATTCTAGGATTTGAACTTGGACAGATTTAAGTATGGTAAGGTGTGGATCGCTTGGCCCTCAGTTCTGACTTGGCTTTCTTCTCACCTGTGATGCTAGACAAATCATGATTAGGAAAAGGAGCAGCGGAACTCCTTTGAGGAGTTGGCACTTTGAGGGAGGAATGACAGTATAACTTCTGGTGAATGATCAGTCAAATCCTGTGATATGGTCAGAATGTTCATAGAATTGCTGAGCTCAGTGTGGAAGTATCAGTGTACTTTAAGATACTGAGATTGCGTAGAACTTGGCCTAAGATTTTATGACTGACATTTATCTCAGGAATTTAGCATGTTCTGTGGTTTGCCTTATTAACAAGTTTCTTTTTTCTTAAGGAAAACTTCCAGAACCAAAGCAAAGTGACATCCAAACAATAATGACTAATTGCCTTCCCAGTCTGCTTGGATACCACTCATGAAGAAGTTATGGAAGAAAGTGTCAACTTCCTCCTCTCTGGTGTCTTCAGCTGTCAACGTTGACAAACTTCAACAAGACCCAGTGGGGAAACAAAACAAAACAAAACATGTAGTGTAGAAATGCATTTCTAGGATTGGGACCCCATTATTGTTTCTAGGGACAGTTCTGGAGTGGAGCAACAACATTTGATCAGGCCAGCTTGTCCCTTTTGTCTGGCTGGATGTATGGGGAGTTGCCACAGGATAGAAAGTGAAAGGTGAAGTCCAGATGGCCAAATGCCTTCACAGAAGCATTGAAACACCCAGGTTTTCCTGTACTCTACCAACTCCCTTTTTGCTTTTTCTCCGTAGTCTTAGTAACTTGGTGTTAGTTTTAAAGTGTAGTTTGAAGGTTAACTATAGCCCTTTGTTTTGTAAACAGATTATATACAGAATCTAGTCCAGTAGTCTGAAGGAGCACTAGTTACTATAGTTTCCATTTACAGGGGGAGCTGATGTGTCAGGGCAGTGGCTGAAATGCTTGCCTTCTTGGGTATCATTAGTATAATGGCTGTTTGCTTGAAGCCATTTTAGGCTGTGTGTGACTCTTGAGGTTCTAGTGATGACTGAGAAGCCCTGGAAGCCACAGAATGCTTTCCCAAGCAAGCATATGCCAAGCTCTATCATCACTGCGATCCCTTACCTCACTGATTGTTAAAGCCTAATTTTTACTTCCCTGTCTCAACTGCTGAAAGTCCCATTATTCTAGTAGATAAGGATCATATGGTTCAGTGAATTTTTAGTACAGGGATGGTAGGAGGTTAAGGCAGAGATATGGCTAGTGAGACCCTCATGTGCTGAGGCTCTAGATGGTGATTTTAAGTGGGAGTGATTAAACAGCTTCACAGTTCACACAGCAGTTTTAATGGTTACCACTTCAGGCCTGCTTCTGCTGACATCTAATTGTGACCTTTGAAACAGCACCATCACTGATGAGTTACACACCAAGGAAGAAGCTTTCTAGCTATATTTAAGTTCTATATAGATGCCTCAAAATTTGCTTTATTGGGGAAATGTTAGGATTTGAATTTGAAGGCTATAGCCAAATTAGTCCAGGTTTCTGAATGAACAATGATTTGATACTTCAGACTCGAAAGCAAGTCCGTTAAGTTACTAATAAGCATTTTTCCATGCTAACATTAGACCTGAAAATGCTTCCAAGAATTTTTTTTTTTTTACCCTTTGTGAGGTATTCAGTATAATATTTAACATTTCCACCAGTACCCTGAGCATTGAGGGCCAGGCAACATTTCATTGCTGATCTGTAGTAGCTCAGATCTGCAGACAACTGACACATGAAGGGCTATTGGTAGGCTTTTAAAAGTCTGTGCTTAGCGTTGTATTTAAAATTAATTCCCAACTGGTTTCTAGCTAGGCTAGCTTCTTGTTCACAGACTGCCTATGGTGTAAACTTGAATACATGTTTGGTAAAACTCTAGCTTTAAATAACATCCATGAAGCTTTTTGGAAAGAAGTTTGGATTGCCCCTCTGGAAGGAACCAGGTCAGAAAAACCTGCATCAAACACTTCCTATCCTTGCCATCCCCCTTTCACAGTGAGACAGCTTGATTTTGGAGCTTCGTGTTCTCAGTTCCTTTTCTGTAAATCTACAACAGAAATTATATTGAATAGGAAAAAATTATTTAGAAGGATGTTTCTCTAGAGCACAGAATTACTGGCTGAAGCAAGTGTTACTGAATAGAGATAATTAGGCCATCTACATAGGAATGCTGGAAATTTTAAATTAGGTTCAATAGAATCACTCAAATTTCATCAAAGCTACTCTTCTGAGAGGAGGGCTTACTGTGGTGCAGGGCCAGCCCAGAACTGCCCAACCTAAAAGCAGGGTTCTACTGTGATGGGCTCACTGACCTATAGATCCACTTAAAATCAGCTTTGCCACCCTTACCATTATGTTAAAACTTTGCTTAGCTCAGGATGTGCATGGGGCATTTCATATGCCTGTCATTCAACTCGATACGGGGAAATGAGTTGAAAAGTAGGCTTGGAGGTATTGACCTCCATTACCTGGGATGCATAGGGCATACCATCTCCATCTCCAGATCTCAATCCCATCTTTAGTACAATTCTCAAATGAGTTTGAAATATTTAGCCCTAAGACTTAACGATACCTGACCAGTTGGGCTACTTGAACAAAAGTCAGTACTAGAGCCATCTACTGGTAATTACTGTGTAGTTTTTGTGGATGAACTGGTTCAACTTAAGGTAGAGGAAGGTCCATTATACCCAAAGATAACAATTATATCTGATTTATGCAGGAAATATGTGACATTAAGTGATCATAGTAAATAAGCAATGGAAAATTCCCTTATTTAAGTAGATCAAATACTGAACTGCCCCAAAAGATACAGAAGAAACAAGACCTTTTCAGGATTTTTAAAGTTGTGTTTACCTGCATGAATATGTGCACCATATATGTGCCTGGTACCTGTGGAGGGTAAAAGGCATCAGATCCTCTGGAACTGGAGTTGAAGATGGTTGCTAGTTGCCTTTGGGTGCTGGGAACTGAATCCAGGTCCTCTGCCAGAGCAGCAAGTGCTCTTAACCTCTGAGCCTTCTCTCCAGCCTGTACTGGCAAGTCTTGGACTCATATTTGTCAGGGTTAGTGAAAATGTCACTAAAGATGGGTTTTGGTGAAAATGCAGCAAAGCATGAAGCTGCTCTTAGGAGCTATTGCCCAGTGGTATTTTATGCCAAGGGACTAGTGCTATTCTGCAGTTATATGAACTTTGTATATCAAAACTCAAATGTCAGAATGTAAAGTGAAAGCATGGTTTTGAGCTGAAGAGATCTTGATTTGAGTCCTGTATCTGCTATTTACCAACTATATCACATGAACCCAACCAAGGACAATGGGTCTGTCTAACCCAATTTGAGGCATCCAAGACAGTGTGCAAAACATCTCCATATCCAAGACTCAACAAAAATTAAGCTCTTCATGGCTACTAGAAGTAAGACAAATGCTATCATTTTTCCATACCATTTGGAAAGAATTTGGAGAAATTCAACTGAATATTAAATTTATATGAATTAAATGTTTTTGGAGGTAGTTCCTATGTAGCCCAGGCTGTCCTAGAGCTCTTGATCTTCCTGCCTGCACCTCTCAAGGTGTGAACCACCTTGCCCAGCACCAATTAAAAGCTTTTAGTTACAAGTTTGCACATTTTCCTGGTAGAGAAAAAGCACTCATGTTGCACAGGGTTTGGTTTTCGTTACAAAGATCTGACTAACTGGTCAAATTGACCATGCTTCATTCTGCCCAAGAGGGTCCGGGACCTGCTTAGGAAAGTGTAGTAGAAGAGGGATTGGTGGGCAAATGTTTGGGCTAGAGGATAAGGTCAGTGACCCAGGAGAAAGCAGGCACACTAGAAGGCATTCCCACCTAAATGTTATGATTGCTCTGCACTTGCACATAGAGAGCAATTTGTTTATGGTAACCAAGACACTGAATCGCCATTTCAACATTTTATAAAATGTTGAATTTTATAGACACCTGTATTTACCACCTGAATTTTGTATTAACATCTAATTTTTCATCTATCCATTGCAGTCAATCCATCTGAATCCATTTCAAACAGTATATTTTTCTTGGTATTCCAACATGGATATCCATTGGAATTTTCAAGTTACAGTGTAAAATTTTTATATACAATGAAATGCACCTATTTTGGGTGAACTTGATGTTTTTTTTAAGAAGTGCCTTACTGCACTCTGAAACCCCATCAAAATTTAGAACATTTTGTCACCTCTCTAGAAATTTCTGTTGTGCTTCTCAACACGTGAAACCAATGTTCTCTACTATCAATCGGTGTTAAAATATTTTCAGTTCAAAGGGATTCATAGTTTTAGATTCCTAACTGGCAGCCCAAGCCCTTGGGGCACACAGTGCTAAGCTGGAGACTAAGCTAGAGGAGCTGCTTAGGAGTGATGGAGAGGTTGTTTTAGAGGGCACACCACTCTTCTCACCTCTGGAGCTCTCAGCTAGGACCCTGTGGTAGGACAGAACATGTCTGTCTGGGATGGAGTGATGAGAGCAGAGCATTGCCTAGAAACTTCAGTGTTTTAAGGACAGGTGCTCAGCTTGATTCCCACATGACCTCTTTTGAGTTTTCATAGTATTCACTGGCAGGTTGTATTCAGTTGGCATATCTAGAATACCCACATGTCTTGATTAGCAAAGTTTACCCTCTGTGTGTGTGTGTGCGCAGCAAACAGCACAGATTCACTTCCAGTAGAACTGTTTCTGCATTAATCACATTTTTCCATTTGCATACAGTCTTATGTGGGGAATTAAGGATTCTTCCCTTCCATAGACTAATTTATTGATGATATGCAAGTCTTATGCTGGCAAGTTCCCCACGTTATGCTACTTTATAAAATGACCTTGTGTTGGAGGTGTTATCTTCATTAGGAGGACTGAATAATTCGCCTGAGATCGTACAAGGAGGAAGTGACAAAATTCCCCACACAAACCCTGTTATTGATGAGTGATATTGATGCATTGAGGCTCTGGCTGGCACACTGGATAGGGCGTCCGAGGGGACAGGACTGTTGTTAGTTACATCTATAGGTAGAGGACATGATGCAGAGCAGAAACACAGGCTACAAGATTTTATCTGGGATTAGTCATGCTTAATATGTTAACTGAATCCAGACCTGACTAGTCAGATCGACAGCCAAGTGGCACATTACCCCAGAAAGGAAAATTCGGACTTTGAGTATTAGTACAGCACCATTCCCACGAACCCTCAAAAATTTTAAAGCCTTGAACTCCCCCAGTGTTTGAGAGTGGAGGAGAAAATGGCTCGAAGTACATATGTATTAAAGGAAAGACCGATACCTTTGACTACATTTATAGAATACAAATGGAAACCAAATGATAAACCATGAAACTGGTTGAATTCATATGAAAAAGGCACTAATCTTCCTAACATAGAAAAAGCTTACAGAAGTAGGAAACTGGGAGCCTTTCCAGTTCTGCTTTAAAGCATGTACAAAGGTTTCTCTCTTAGTTAGGATTCTGTTGCTGTGGGGAAGACTCCATGACCACGATAAAGGAAAACATTTGACTGGGACTAGCTTACAGTTCAGGGGTTTAGTCCATTAACACAGCGGGAAGCGTGGCAGCATGGTGCTGTAGAGAGAGGTAGCTTAGAGTTCTACATTTGGATGTGCAGGAAGTGACAGTGACACTGGCCAGCTTGAGTTTCTGGGACTTCAAAGCCCGCCCCCTAGTGACCTCTTTCAACAAAGCCTCAGCTACTCTTAACGAGGCCACAACTAAGAGTGCTACTCACTGTGGGTCTATGGGGGACATTTTTATTTAAACCACCATAGTTTCCAACTTCACACGAGAATTACGTCTTAATGCTGATGTATTCTTCACATTTAGAAGAAGCCATGAAAGTTTGACAACATACTTTCTTGGTGACTGAAGAAGCAAGCCTTTTCATCCATAGTTTACTCTTGAATTTGCAATATGTCAGCAGTATTGCCTGCTTTGGGGCAGGGCTCTCGGTAGCACATGGGTTTCAAATAGCTGACAGGAAACCTCTCCTGTCTTCATCTTCTGGACTGACTTCTGCTTAAGGTGACCTGATTTGATCAAAATGATAATGCCCACCAAAGACTAAAAAGTTGTTGTACACTGTACTTGCTTGATATCTTGGAGCCTTGAGGTTTCAAACATGAGTACTAGGTGTAGCAGGGATAAGAGATCACTAGAGAAACCTCATCGACAGCCTGCCAACTCTCAGACATAATGAATCCACAGCTTATCCTGATCGAACTGAGTTGTCAACCACTTTGAGTCCCATGAGTGAGAACAATAGAAGTACGAGGCTGATCCAGCCAGAATAGCTGGCCTGGAGAATCCTAAGCTCTCTCCAGCTGCTGTGTGTCACTGCATTTTGAGGTAGTATGTTATACATAGCAAAAGCTAACAGAGAATAAGAAACAATGGCAAAACCTGACAAGGCATGCTCACCTATATTAACTGGAGACTGGAAATAGCTGCTATTCAGGAACGGCGTATAAAGTGCAGAGCACCCACTCAGTGGACTTGTTGCTACATGTGGGTGGTTTTTCATGGAGTGATTTGCAGGATGTATTGGTAGGTAAGAAGCAGTACAGAATAGTGCATGCAGTGTGCTACCTTTAAAAATAGAATGCTGCTATGTATCCATTTTCTCTTTATTTGAAAAATAGAATTGGCTGAGTGCTTGCCTAGAATGAATGAGGCCCTGGGTTCAATCTCAGCACCACAAAACAAAACATGAATTAACAGGAAACTAGCAATGATTTCTTACACGGAAAGACAATGCTGGGCTGTTCTCTACAAAGCTTTGGGGTTGGGACTATGTTAATGTCTTGTTTGCACACATCCAAAATGAAGACAAAAATTATAGAACCATTGCAAGTGTAAAATAAATGAAGCTAACTATATTAGCTCTTTAAAACAAATTATTTCAAGTATTATAAAAATAAACAATTGTCTATGTGTTCTTAATGGGAATGCCTCAAGATAGAAATAAAGAAGCATCATTCATATTGGTAATAGTATTCAGAAACACACACACACACACACATATATATATATATATATGTGTGTGTGTGTGTGTGTGTGTGTGTGTGTGTGTGTTTTTGGTAAGATAAAATAGAGTTTTTATTAATATCAGGAATCAAGAAAACAGCCTATCCAAAAAATGCTAAGTAGTCCGTAAGTTGTAATCAGGTGTACAATTTTCTTGGAAAGTACCATTATGACATCATGATGCATTTTCTTCGAAAAATCACATTTTCTAGCCCTTGTGTGTGAAGAGTAATGAGGAGAGGAGCCCCTAGAACCAAGACTGTAGTTTCTAAATGTCCTTTCCTATTAAGGATCAGGGCTATTTGGAGTCATTCAAGAAATGTAGAGACAAGATGGATGGTGGTGGCGCATACCTTTAATCCCAGCACTTGGGAGGCAGAGGCAGGTGGATCTCTTTGAGTTCGAGACCAGCTTGGTCTACAAGAGCTAGTTCCAGGATAGCCTCCAAAGCCACAGAGAAACCCTGTCTCGAAAAAAAAACCAATAAATAAGAAAAGAAAAAAAAAGAAAGGAAAAAGAAACATAGAGACTAGCTGGAAACATCGTGTTGGACTCATCGTGGCTCATTTCAAAAGGACCCGGAGGGAAATTTGCAAAGACGGAAAATGTGCATCAAGATAATTGCAATAAACTGAAACGCATGTTAAAAATATCTGAATTTAAGAAATCACACATGTATTTTGTAGGGTGCTAAGGCACTCATTGTTTTGAGAAAAGACAAAGGTGGTTTATACTGCCTTCTGTGAGCACAAACCCTGCAAGAAACATGCCACTCCAGAGGACTGAGAATATCAAAACTTCACTAGTTTGTTATCTCTAATGAGCTAATCTAAGAAATGATTATCCATGTCTCCTAAATCCACTTTAGAAAAGCCGACGAAGAACTTCCTAAGTGTACCAAATTGGCAGTTCAGTACACAGTAGGGCTGGCCTTCCACAGGTACAGCTTTCCTATCTGTGGCTTCTGCAACTGTGAATCAACCAACCATGGAGGGAAACTTGTGTCTGCATTGATCATGTGCCAACTTTTTTCTTGCTATTATTCCCTATACAATAAAGTGTAATAACGACGTACGTAGAGTTGAGAAGTGTAGGAGTTGCCACTGCACCCCAACAGTGAATCCAAAGCTGAGTAAACAGAAAAGCAATTCTTCCTAGAACAGTAGGACCAATAAGCTCAGAGGACCGTCAGCATGGCTGTGAGAGGCAAATACAGAGAATCATACCAGCGTGGAATGCCAGGAACAGACAACTCCATTGGAACTGGGGGAAACTGCTCCATGATTGATGCGGAGCTGGAGGTTCAGACTGAAGAAATCTGAGATTAAAACAAAACAAAAAACAAAAACAAGGGAGCCCAACACTGGCAATCACCTAAGCCCGTCTGAGTGTCCTCTCCAGACCATTCTGAGTATGCTGCTGTTAACATGGTGTTCTTTTAGAAGAAACAATTTAATCAGTGTCCAACTTAATTCAAGGAATGGAAATACCCAATTTCAGGCTAATCTAGCAATCCTGTACCACCTTAAATGGGGTCAGGAGAATTGAGGAATACATGTGGAGTTCTGGTTAAGATAAAGGCTCACTGAAGAGACAGGCTATAACACTTCTCCCAAACTTTGCCAACACCTTATTCCTATATTACCAAGTGATTATTCACAGCTGTTCCTTTTATCCATGCATTGCGCCTGGTTATGAAAACACAAGGTGTGCTAAAACGTTAAGCAGACATGTTGGCTTTATCTGGCCCGTACTTTAAACAAACATGACAAATCAACCAAGGACTCCAGGGACTGAAGTGGGCACCATACTAGACTATGGATGATGTAAGAGGAGAAACAAATACTTTAAAAATCAGAAACAAAAACAAAACATGAATGATTTCAGTCAGCCTCTATTATTAGTTCTTGGAGAATTTCTTGCAATGTGTTTTGATCGTGTTTACCCCACCTCTTGAATAGGCAGACCTTTTCTTAGACTGGATGTTACTGAAGAAAGGATCTGTGCTGAGGATATCTCGGTAGAAACATTGAGAACAGAAAAGCATATGGGGAAAGGTGGGGAGGACAATATACCCCAAACAGCAGACTCCTTTCAGGAAGTGTAATGTGCATGGCGGTGAAGGGACCAGCTCCCCGTTTTGGCAGCCATGACAGCCTAACAAGTGCTTGCCTGACCTTGCCTTGGTCACTAGGAGGTCAGATGCCTGCCTCATGGCAAGGAACCAATCAGAAGTTAGCTGGTGGTACTATGCTTTATGGCTCTGGGTGTGTTTTACGGACAAGTGCACAGCAATGACGTGCAGAACATAGCAATCACCCTGGGAGGGCCTATGGGCCATAACAACCAGTTGAGCAATCAACACAGGGCAAACCCTCCAAGCCTGGAGGCACACCAATCGTGAGCCTGTACATACCCCTAGACACTCCCGTTTCACTGCCCTATAAGATCTGATCTCTCTGTTGTGGATTCTCGGTGTCCTTCCCAGCCATCTGCCATGGTGGATGGATGTTTCACTGCCCTATAAGATCTCTATGTTGTGGATTCTCGGTGTCCTTCCCAGCCATCTGCCATGGTGGATGGATGAAAGACCCGAGCTAACATAGGGTTAGCTCGTTAAACAACTGCAATAAAGCCTCGTGCTGTTTGTCTTTCAGCGGGAATGTAAAAGGAAGACGAGAGGAGGAGCAGAAGTGGTCCAGGTAGTTTTGGAGTTGGAGATGGTTGTAAGTGTACATTTCAAACTCTGCAGCAACCACCAAGGTGGGGGGACCCCCTCCAGGTTCTCTAATGTGCTAAGAAAGGTGAGAAAGTAGATCCCTCAGGCCTTCTGTCTGTACTAGGGTGCTTGCCTGGTGATAACATCACAGTGTTTTGAACTTGGAAAGTTCACAATCAAGCTTTACTAATTGGGGCACCAATAAACAATGAATGGGCAAGCAGAGAATAGCAGAATAGAAGTGCAAGGGACGGGCTTCCTCTCAGAAGGAAGCGGAACAGCTGAGGGAGGAGCTAGTCCAGGGAAGCCACCCCCCCATCAGGATCCCCTTCCCTTTTTGCACATTAAAATTAAAAAAAAAATTCACTCGGGAGGCAGAGGCAGGCGGATCTCTGTGAGTTCGAGGCTAGCCTGGTCTCCAGAGCGAGTACCAGGATAGATTCCAAAGCTGTACAGAGAAACCCTGTCTCAAAAAACAAAAAACAAAACAAACAAAACAAAACAAAAAAAATTCATTCATATGGGCACATCTGTATGTGAATGTCACGTGTCAGACCCCTGGCGCTGGAATCACAGTTGTGAGGGGACTGATGTGGATGCTGGGAATAGAACTTGTGTCCTCTTGAAGAGCACCAAGTACCCCTAACCTGAGCCATCTCCCCAGCCCCGAGGAGCTCTTGGCCCTGGGATTGAGTCCCGGTCCCCTGGGGCAGTGTCTTGTGGTCTGTTGATTGGCAGAGAAGTTAATTGAGGTGGCACAGGCTGGGGGAAACTCAGCAGGTTGGTGCTGGAAGCCTGGAATTCACCAACTGGGTATGTGAAAGACACACTAGGAATCTGGCTGAGCTAGACTTGAGGCGACCACCCACAGGAGTGCTAACGACACTCCCCAGGAGGGGCGCATTCCTGAGAGTCTCCAGCGCTGTCCCGCTTTCCGCCCCAGGAACAAGCAGCCTAGAGTCTTTCTTACCTTCACAGTCTCTCTGCTGCCCTCTACTGGTGAAGCTATGCATCTCGCCATCTGGAGAAAAAAAGGAGCAAAGGTAACTAGCACCCCACAGAGAAGTATTTATATGTGAAATGAGTGTCTGTGGTTTGTTTCTAACCAATCATGAAGGTGGAGGTAGAGAAACAAACAATGTAAATCCTAAGGAGGGACTGTGGAAGAGGGTTCACGATGTCCTCTTCCCTTCCTTTCACTTCCATTGTAACATAGCTTACAATGTGAATTGGCGTGTTATCTGCCTGAGGACACTAAAGCCTTATATTATTACCTAACAATCCAGGACTGCTTCGATTTCCCAAGAGCTAGCATTAGTCTCGTATTGTTAGACCCCCAAAAACCTCAAGTATCCGGGGTCCCAGGCCACGTTCGCGGTCACCCAAATCACCAGGCGGATTCGAGAGCTTGCTGCAAACTGCACGAGGCTTTATCGTAATTTAACGAACTAACCCCATGTTAGCTCGGGTCTTTCCCCCCCCCGCCATGGCGGATAGCTAGAAAAGACGGCTTCTACAGGCTCCCAAAAGATCTTATAGAGCAGCATAAGGGGAGTGTCTAGGGGTACGCACAGGCTTACACACAGGCTCACGATTGGTGTGCTTCCAGGCTTGGAGGGCTTGCCCTGTGTTGATTGGTCAACTGGTTGTTATGGCTCATATGCCCTCCCAGGGCGGTTGCTATGCTCTCTACGTCATTGCTGTGCGCTTGTCCGTAAAGCACACCCAGGGTCGTAAAGCATAGCGCCACCAGCTAACTTCTGATTGGTTCCTTGTCATGAGACAGGCATCTGACTTTCTAGTGACTAGCTTCTGATTGTTTCCTTGTCACGAGGTAGGCATCTGACTTTCTGGTTTCTAGGACAAGGTCATAGAAGCACATGTTCGGCTGTTATGTCTGCCGAAAGGGAAGCTGGTTCCTTCAGCCGAGGAATCCAGAGTCATGGACTGAAGAGCTACCGGGTTCTCAGCCTCCCAGGTCTGAAGGTGGCCATTTTTGAACTGCCCAGTATGTATCCTGAGTCAATGTAGTGAATCCTGTTTTAAGTGCGTGTGTGCGTGTGTGTGCGCACGCGCGCGCGCACGCGCGCGCAGGTTCTATTGGTTCTTTCCCTTTAAAGAATCCTGCCCAAC